ATATTTGAAATACAAATGGCGTCTACAAAAAATATCAGAGTCATTTCTGGTGGGTTAAGCAAGATTGTTATGAGTTAAGTGAGTGACCTAGGAATATTACTCTTTTTAAAAGGTGCCACGACTAGTTTATATCATATAAAAGAAATCATATATGAACAGAAACTTGCGTGATCAAACACAGAAAAGATGAGCAAGGTTATAAATTGAATATCCAGAGTGAAGGATGAGCAAACAATGGCAATGCATTACTTGCTTTCAACGAATAAAATGCTTCTTCAAAAACATCTTCCATATTATTCACAATCTTGACACATCTAAGAATGAAAGTCATTCTCTGAGTGAAACCTTTCAATCACGAATTAGTAGGATATGTAAAAACTGCCGAAGGATTTAGCAACATGAAAGGATTTATCTTTTTGATAGCATTGTGTTCGCTTGATTTGTAATCATACGATTAGGATTCAATAATGGTAATTATGACAGGCAAACCAATGCACAAAGCATTTTGTAATAGTAGAAAACATGTTGCAATAACAAATTGATCCATCACTAAATCCCCATAAACCCCTAGATCCAATTGATCTATAGAAGTCGTTTTATTATGTATCGTAAGATGCTGAGGTTTCTTGTCACTGACCTTCAACACAAATTAGTAGGTGAGTGAAACAGTCACAGAGAGTAGAACCAATTACATTTTTCCAGCTTAACCTGATAATTTAGTTTACTTAATTTATTTTTACCCTCACCAGTAGTATTACTGGAGTAGTAAAAGATGAACAAGTTTAAGACACTAGTTGGTGCAACAAAAAGCGAAATTTGAATAAATATCCGGAAGGTTTAGGAGATTAGAAATGATAGTATTCATACCTGGTCTGTTTTACATTTGCCACTTGGCATACCAGTAGCTGTAACAGCAGCCGTAGAGTCTTCAACATTTCGTGTGACTCCTACTTCTGTTTCATTGTTCAAATGGTCTAAATATCCCGTATGAGAAGTAGGAATTGTCGTTGTAGGTAAGATTGAACTGAGAAATACTGGTCGATCACTTGTACTAGTTGATGATGGCCAAATCATTTCGGACAATACACGTTTCTCCACAGGATTTACTTGCTGCTGTTGGTTTTGTGATGATTTGAAAGGATGTGTAGATGATACTGTTTGATCGATTCCCGTACATTCAAATTCATAGCGATTAGATGAAGATCTCTGTTTATAATTTGTGTTTACTGAGTTCTCAGCAACAAGCACATTTTCATTATCTGGTAGATTATAAGAGTGATGATGATATTGATGGCTTCTTAGTTCTGACGGAAATCCAACTGATGTTTGTCGAGCCACTAATTCATTCAATTTCAAACCGATTGCAGTAACCTAATATATTTGCAAAAGTCAAAAAAAGGATTATACAGTATGAGTTAGTCTGAACATAACAGCGCAATAGTCAAAAGATGATACTTCAGTTTCATCTTAGCGAATATTTTGTTCAGTAATAGTAGGAATGAAAGCATATCGCTGTTAGATTTCTAACAGTGTCAAGTCTTCGGTGGATCCTCTTGGAAAAAAGGATCTAAATTAAAGAAGCTAAGATAACCTTAATTGACTGACCCTGTATTATTACACAAGTGTGAATTTAGTAGCTACAGAGGAACTTAAATTCAGGTTTAAAAATCACTCAAAAGTTGTAGTGAGTAAAAATTGTTTATCAGTTGGAAGATGTCTAAATCGATAGAAACAGAAACAGCTGGCTCTAATTTCAGCAACTAAAAAGTTTTCAATAGGTTTGAGTTATTGAAATTGAATAAATTGACACTGACAACCACTCGATTGTCCCCGAACATTTTTATTTGGTTGTGCACTTAGCGAGATTCAGTTCTCAGTGAAGCACTAAAGCTCACGGAACATTGAAGGATAGTCAACCTTATTATGAGTAACACTATGTTGTGGTGTAATGTAAATTAACACTGATAAACGCTGAAATCAGACTAATTAAAGATGAATTAAACAATATTTTGACCGATGATTTTTTATTTGTTTTTACTCTCTAAAGCTGATAAGAATCTCATTAACTTCTCGATTGGTGGTAGAAACAATATGCAATACTAATGCATAATAAAGGAACCATGGATTGAAAGCCTTTCCAAATAACTAAATGTCTGAACGTATGACACGTCTATCCACAGAATTTAATTGATTTCTGAAAAGTGGGAAACAATCAGATAAAGAAACAGTTCTACGGGAAAGCATTCGAAACTTTACTTTCGATTTCAATGGGAATGCATTATATGTGCTTGATGAGTCGTCGGCTATTTTTATCGTCTTCTTTTCGCTTTAGGGTTTTCGTGCTGGCTAAGTAGACTATCACCACCAAAATTACGCATGCTCTTCGACCCACCCTTCTACAAAACTTTATCTACAAGTTCAGGTCTACGTCGGTTTACTAAAACCTTCGATTAGGATCTGCCAAATTCTGTTATAAAGAATTAGGAATAATAGCGTATAAATATGATAACAACAGATGTGAATAGGTAACTAAATACACATCATATGGCAATAAAGTTTGAAATCTGACTCCTTTCATACTTTTGGCTATACATGGCCATTCTGGTGTACTATGTATCTGACTGCGGTACAACCACCACAGTAATAATCTTAATAACTATAATAGTATATGATGACGTCCTAGATGTAAATACAAAACGTAAAGATCCCAGGAAAAACTGTCTGTCCCCAACAAGCTGATTGCTTTCAGAGTATTAAGTAGTATAGTACTATTGAAAATGGTAACAAAGGACTTTTAATATATGTACACATATAATTTAGGGCGCAAAAAAAACAACCACATCATCCAAAGATTATATCTTAGCTTTTCATGATAAATACTCTATAATTTCAAAACTTTTTAAAGATTTAATGTAATATAGAAGTAAGACCTTGGTTCTGTTGTAGACTGTATTTCCATTTTAGGTTGTTTATCAGAAATATCACACAATGAAACAGTATTATTTACTGGATTACGTTTTGGAGACAATCTATTGTCGATATTCATATCAAGATGCGTTGGAAGAGGGTTCAAGGTGGCCAGACCAATACGTGATACCAGTTCATGAAGCCTCTAACTGTTGATCTGAGTTGCATGGGTAGATGCAGACTGCCTGGTTGGGATCCCCGAGATGAAACGAATCAACAATTGAAGACTCTTGGTGGCATGGCTAAAAATTGGTCACAATGGCGCAGATGTATTCACTCCTTGACATTTACTAAAACCTGAATATTCACACTAACCTTTATCTTCAAACTGTTTATTCGCTCACACTACTTTATATTCTTCTTATTCACCTGTTCTTTGAGTACTACTGTGAAGTGTGGAAACTTCAGCCGATCCACCTGAGTGCGAGGTTCTTCGTTGACTTTGTCAGTCAGTCGTGATAACTCCATAACTTTTATAAAGTTCTAATTTTTAAAGTAGCATTCATCACAGACTGACATCAGTTGGAGTACCATTGGAAACCTGAGAGCACTGGACAAATGTTTCGTCCTAGTATGGGACTCCTTAGCAGTAGGTACCCACGACCTGACTAGGAATCAGACTCCGAACCTTCAGGTTTCATGGCGAACGCTTTAACCACTAAGCGACTGAGTTGGAGATCGATGGTCCACAGTTGCCCATTTCTATCAATTAGCTGTTAACAACATAGGTCACGATTTCTCATTAGAACTTCGGAATATCCATCTTGAAGTATGTCAATGATGAGGACTACGCAGTAGTTTTCTAACTAATGTCAGTCCCTGATGAATACTACCTTAAAAATAAAATCCCTATTAACCTCAAAATATACAGTTTTAATTCTCACATCTTGTTTTGTGATATGGGTAGTAGAGTTTTCTGTCTATCTGGAAAAGACCATATATCATTCCTGCTGTTCCGTGTATTTGATTTGATTCGATAAACGAGAATTCGGTCGAGTCTCTCCTTCCATGTAATCAAGTAAATTCTAAGGGTTTTCACTGTACCATCCTGTTGTGTGATTGTGCGTAGTCGCATGCATAGCTGTAGCCAGGTTTTTCCCTAAGTTCCTTATCTTACTGGGATTTACCAGTTTGACTTAGGTAGGTCTTTGTCCTAGGACACGCTAGTTGATAAAAGTGGACTACTGTGACCAATATATCTGGCCTCGCAATCACTGCAAAGGGTTTTCCTCAACTGGAGTAACAGGTTCTTGTAACCTGAAAACCTTGTTTCCAAGTTAGTTGGTAGACTTAGATGCCACTCTAATCTAAGCCGTATTGAGAGGTCTTCGAAACGCTTCTTACGCTCCTTTCACTAGTGGTAACACAGTAGGTGTTTTAAAATTTCGCTTCATCACTATTATTATTATGACTATAATTAAAAGTTGTTACCACTTCTGTTTATATCATCTATATAATTTGCTATGAATTTACCAATAAACTTAGATGGGTTTTCTTAAGACGCAAAGTATCTCAAATTCTAACCTAAAAGCAAGTATTTTCGACCTATTACTCAGATATTTAACTAAGCCTAGTTTAAACTATATAAGGTGAGATGATTTTTAGTCTAAGCAGTGACCTGATTAATAGCATCCTATTTTATGATTATAGTCATTAGATAGTACGTAATGAAAATGTGGGTGGAAATGAGCTTAAACTAATCGTCCAGTTGATAATATTATGTTGCTTTTAGTTCAATATTAACGATATCTGAAACAGCTTTTTATCTAGGGGTTATGTATAAAGTATTTCGCATACAAATGTTTCATTACAGTACAATAGATCTAAGGTTATTTGTTGTTTTCTGATATCTTTTCAGCGGATATTTTTGGGAAGTCATTATATAAGATCCTCAGAGCGGGATTCGTCGATTGACTTTCTTAACATTTGCATAGTAACCATACTTGTTAGAAGGTAAACATCTAGATATTATACTTAATTCCAGTTTTCATGAAATTTCACAGAGTATTTTTGCTTTTATACCTTCACTATATGCTAGTGGTCTTTGTAAAAATTACTAAACAAACATGTGTGACTCTGTCTGAAATGTGCAAAACAATGTGATACTTCTTGATATAATAACCGTTGTTTAACCCATAAGTATCTCATTGAAACAATAATCCGATGAATATCACTAATCCACTAGGTAAAACAAGACAAATGATTCTTATGTAACTACTACATACTCTACAGTGTTGTTTTTATTGCTTGTAAAGAAAGACAAAATGATGTACTGCCTTTTTAACCAGTTAACTAGATAATCGATCCACCAACATCAACATAGGACCAGGTATTACGGTGTAACGGTCGAAGTTGAATTACCTCATATCAGCAAATCAGGCGAGAAAGCACCAAGATGGAAAATAAAGAGACAAAAACAATCGGTCAAAACTAGTAAAACGTAGTAAGAGAGACCAAGAAGGAATAAGAAGATAATGAATATAGTATGATGATCAAGGCGAGAATAATGAATGGATACATCTGCGCCATTCAGGTAGATTGTGAGTAATGTTACATACAGTCTCCAACCACCAGTTTCTCTCGCCACATCCACCCCAGCCGCGAAATCTAGGTTTGCCCGTACGGCTCAGACCAACAATCAAAGACTTTATGGACTAATGTTTTAGTCTGGCCATTCAAGCCTTTTTAAGCCTAAACTTACTTAAACCGACATTGTGCGACGAGGCAGACAGTGACTAGATATGCGTAACACATGCCCCAGTCACCTGAGTCTATGAAGGTTCACAACCTCATCAATTGACTTTTCTCTCCTCCAAAAGTTTTATATCTGTCATCTACATTACTAACGTGATGATACCATGACACACAACCCATTTTATGAAAGCAACGGTGATCGAATACCTGAAGCATTTTTGTGCTCCATACCTTTCATGGTCCATTTTTCACATCTATATAGTACAATAGAGCGAACTACAGAGCAGAACACAGCCCTTAGTAGGCAATCAGAAATCACGGCGGTGCTATAAGTGGCATCAGTTGATGAAAACAATTCAAGTTTTATCAATATAAGAGTAAAACTTGAGCAGTGTGGTGGATTGTAATTCCATTTTCGTATTAGAAATATTATTATTATTATTATATTATTATTAGAAATATCACACACTGAAACAGTAGCATTTAGTTTCATGTACTCCTGTACAGATTTCATCCGTCACTGACTCGTTACGGCTGACGTGACTTCCCAAGCAAGTACGGTGATCAACGTGCTCAACCACTTTACTCTATGCTGTTAGACACGCCACCAATGAAGACCAGTCCTAGAACAAAATTTCCATTTGGTCGGTGAGACAGAGTCTTCACCTAACAGGACTGTGTCACCTGTATATTCTAGACCTACTCTCTCCTGTGATAACATCAGCTCTGAGATGGAAACCTTCATAAATGTGTCGATGATAAAGTCAAATGGGAATGGACATCTTTGACGAACAACACTCAAGTCACACAATTCCCCTGACAACTCGACACAGGCTTTGACACCCCCACATGTGTTCGAGTAAAGAGCCGTAAACGGAGAGATGTACTCACTCGGTATCCATTTCGGTGAAAGAAAGCGCCATAAGATCTCTCAGTCGAAAGATTCGAATGGTGTTTCCAGGTCGAGAAATACAATCAGTGTCGGACGTCCGTAGTCAGTGCAGGCTAATTCTGAGGAATAACCTTAGATTTGATAGGCGTAAGATGCATGACAAACACACTCAGATTTTGCTCAGGGCTTTCGGGAAAATCTGAATTTCGTCATTGTCTTCCCTTAACAGGGCTATGTTGTCTGGGTACTGTAGGCCAACTAGGAGAGCTGTACGGAGGGAAAGACCGAATGATAAACATGGAACCTCGCACGGAAGCGCATTGGTTCAGGTTGCCATACTTTACAGCAGCAAGCAAAAAAGGGGATAGAAAAAGTGATAATAAGGTAGACAAGTGTATGGATAAAGAGGGAAGAAATATATAAACTTGAGTGAAAATGTTCAAATTTTCGAAGATAACAAAGAACAAATACATCTACGCTATGGTAACTCATTTTCAGTCATGTCACCATGAATCTTTAACCATTGACTCCTATCATCCCAGTCAGGCAGTCTACACCTCCTCATAGGCAAAGCACTAACAGCCAAACACTTGGATTGGTATCACGCATGGCTATAAACATCCTTAAACTTCTGCCAACTCAACTCTACTTTCACTAGCATTGCACATCAAAGTAGGTGGTGGCTCGATATGGGGAACATACATACTAAACTACCTCGATTGCTGTAGATTCATCACCTCACCGACTGACTTCCTTAGGACCTTCCGCCTACTTTCCAAATTGTTTAACATGCTGTTTCCAACAGACGCGAGCAATGCAACAAAGACTACTATGATCAAAACCTGTAATTTCTTCACATCTACTTTCCACAGCCAAGTTCCACACCCTCCTGATAGGACCAAGAGGACTATATAGCAGTATACTCATACTTCAATAGATATTCAGATATATGCCCGGCGCCAGTGACCGTAAGCCAGCAAACGCCAAACAGGCGGTTTGTATCCAAACTGGGAGATTTCGTCAGTGACCGGACCATTCGGACCAATGCAGCTCAGTCAGTAAGTAAAGTAGTAGATGCATTCAACCATCACATTCGTCATCCAAAAACTAGAAGTCAGTGCACACTATTTCGAAAGCATTATCTCACATTTGAAGTATGAGAAACAAATGTCAGCATTCAATGTATTCATAGAACCCTGCATTTTGTCAGCATCTTCACCTAACAAAATTATCGTTTCAACACTCCAAGTCAACCAGGTGCCTTTTGAGTGTGAGTGAATCTCCGGGAATTCGGAGGTACCTACTTTTATATCCATTAGCATGATCATGATAAGTTAATTAGGAAAAGTGACAGTGGTTATCGTCTATGTTTCTTCAGGCGACAGCTCTCCATAAGTCCTTACACAGAGTAAGTTAAAGAGTACTTTGATTGGCATAATAATTGCTTCGTACTTCACTCACAGCCAGATACTGCAACACCATCTCTCGTTTGACAGAGTCGAATGTGACTTTTAAGTCAAGAAATATGGCAAGTTTAAGATACCGTAGATATGCCTATGTTTCTAATTCCATCAAACAGTGAAGATTCGATCGATGCATCTTTTTCCGGTCCCCCACCGGCTTGGTTCTCTCTAGTTGACAGTTTTTTCGAGCTTCAGTTAGGTATCAAACAACTGTGAACTGTAGGGAACTGGATAAGATGCTAGTCAAACCGATTTCCCTCCGGTTTTCATAGGGTGACTTCTCTATTTTCTTATGAACAAAAACAATGGTCGAATTTTGCACATGAATAAGAGCTTGATGCAGATATCTTTCTATATCAGAAACAATTACTTTATAACAATGGAGACGTAATCTTGGTAAAAACACCAAAAACCAATACGGTACATATTACATAAGAAACATAAAATCAGACAAAAAGTACTTACTAAGGTCTGCTGCTAGCCATCACTAATCACTCAGAAGTCTGAAAGTCGAGCAACTGATTACTCTCTACACCCCACTTTCCTGCTAACTTATTCTACGATAGGTTTACTTTAATACTTTATTCCTCGCGAATATTTTCGTCACACTGATGAATAGTATGACAATCTAGGCTTACGTACCAGTACATAAGGTATTATTAAACTCAGTTTTTCTACTATTTTTTTTTCTCATTTATCAGATTTTTAATGATATTCGCAATTTTTAATCTACAACAAAAAAGCATGAGCACCCGAAAAAGTAGTGTGTGAGGAAGAGTTAAAGAAAAAGATCGACATGGAATAAGAGAATGATCAAAAAACAAAAAGCAGTCACAAAACCTGCATTTAAAAAGCTTTCGTTTCTTTTGTATTGTTTAGAGACACAAGACAATATCTAGTGTATGTCATTGGTTTGATTCTCAGCCATAACTGGAAACGTCTTGAGTCAGTTATTCACACGTTCCCTTGAACCTCACTCATGAATTAGTTTGTCGTATATAAAAAGATGCTATCTTAACACAATTATTTTTCAGTTGATTACGTTATCCAAAAGGACTAACCACCTCTCCATATCTTTGGGACAGTCCCAGAGTCACAAAACCGTGAAGTCATTCACTTGATTGTAATTTATGCTGAAGACCCCCATCGGATCAAAACAGAATATACCAGAAATATTAACATATACATAATATATGAAACATTTCATCACACTTTTCTTGAAGAATATAAAACTAGTAATGAATAATTTAATTACTAAAATGACTTTCAGAAAAAATGATTGGCTTTTACCTATAATAAAAAATAAATATCTTTTTTAAAAGGGAAAATGAATGCACATTAATGTGAGTCAACTACATATTTTTATCTACCTCATTAGTTTTATCGGGGGTTACTTGGTGAACATGCACACACACACACATATATTCGTGGAGTAAATGCTACTCAGTGGTAGAATTACAGATAATGATGAAATAAATGGAAGTATTTCACGGTGCTTTGACCTATTTTAATAAATTGTTCTATGCCAGCTAAGAGGTTTTTTTCTGTCCGAAAGTTATCGACTTCTCATGTTCACAAGCGGAACAAAAATATAAGAGTATCAGATAGGCAGATTTAATCCAGTTTGAAGACGTACCATTTGTGATTAGAATAGCTTACTATAGCACTGAGTGATTTGGGTTTGAACTCGAGAAAATGGAATTCTCGAAGATTGTAGATAGATAAGAGTAAGAATGAGGTTAGCATTTAGACCTCTTTATTGACTGCCAACAAACAATTGATATATTTACTTACCTCATCGTTACAGGTAGAAGCATATTTGAAATTCAAAAAATTCATAGTAAGTCAGTTAGTTGGTCAGATTTTTGAGTGATATTTATAAACAATGTGGGAGGACTACCTGGCGTAACTTAACTATATGAAACGGGATTAGAGGTCTTGAGACCCACTCCACCCCTACCAACTACCTAGACTAAGGAGCCACAGCCTCACAGCAAAACCCAGTAGCCGTTCAATTTGTAATACCCGAAACAGGATTATAATTATTGACAAGTGCGAATTGGAGGGATATATTCGAAGAAAAGTTATCCTCATTAACTTTTATTAAAGCTGGTTGTATGGTAAAAATTACTTACCCATGATAAACCAATTAATTCAGTATATGCCGGTGGAGAATACACAATAATATTTTCTGTAGCATCGACAATAATCGCCATTAAACTCTTTGAATGCACGCTTAATATGGGTTTTGTAAGAGTACTGACAGAGGTAAAACCAGTACGAACAGAAGTGTTAGGAGTAGTACAACAATTCGACAATTCCATCGAAGTGAAAGAAGATAACGATGAGTCTGATTTACTCTGTGATTTCATATTTGAATCTGTAAATAAGGAAAATACACTAGATAGAATTAATTATATTCAGTCTTGATTATAAAATATTAAGTATTCAGGCTCATTATATTACTCAGTTACCTAACAGATGCAAGTATGTTAGGATTCAAATCCATTATTCAGCTGTTGGTAGTGTGATTTGCAACCAATTTTGTCTGAACGCATACATTTTTAACAACACGTAAATCCACTAGACTCATGATTTAACACCAGTCTATCTGTAACATAAAGAGACAAAGTGTGTTTCCGAGACAACTGTCTACTTCAAATGGTTACAATTTTCAATGCATATCAAAATATCACAAATGTGATATGAAGTGAAGACTAATAGCAGAAGAGCATCGAGAATAATATAATTGACGGGTTAGAATATAAACTTCCATAATATGTAGAAATAATTTCTAAGAAAAGGTGTGGTCAAGCGCAGCATGAAAACAAAATGAAGGTGATTTTATACTGTTTAAAAATAAAATGACAATAGTCTAACTGAAGTGTGAATAGGTTCGAAGTCTCTTTTGCTATGCATAATCCCAGTTTCTTCATACATACGACAAACACTTCTACAAAACAGAGAAGACGGAAACGTACCATTTTCGGCAAACTTATTTTTACCTTGCAGATGAATTTCAACTCTGAATCAATTTTCCTGACCATATGTTTCACTATCGCATTTCTAATGGATCCATTTGTATCTCTTTGCAGTAGAGAGGGCTGCTTCCTCTAACTTTTAACCTTTGTTGCCACCTTGAACTTAGTTAGCAACTATGTACCTCAACCCTTTTTATTCCTCTTAATATTCACTACTTCGTTGTATTTTTTTTATATGTTTTAAAAATCTAACGTAGCCTTTGCTTTGTTTCCATAGTACGCTTGATCTCACTTCAACTTCGGAGCTGTTTTCATGTTATAAAATCTTATAGTCTATCCTATTAACTATGTTGGTCTCTATGCTCTTTTGTGATAGATCCTCACCTTATATCGTACTTGTGATAACTTGATATCAGTTAAAGTGGGGTAATTTTCATTTAGCCTGATCCTTATTATTAGGTTTAATTAAATCATATTTAAAACCACCTAACATAGTGGAACAAAGCATGTAAAATGGGGACTGTACTGCTATAGAAAGTCACCGGAAAAAATCTTTTTGCCGAACTTTTCGTTTTTCCTAATATCTCAATGGGTAACTTATGTAACCGTTCAGTTGACTAAACAAGAATTACAGAGTTTGATTGTACACTCACCCTGTGATGGATGAGATAGTATCTGCATCATTGACTTATTGCTTAAGATACACCTAATCAGCACTTGACTTGCAACCTCAGCAGTCGCAAGTCGAAAAATAAATAGAAAAATGGAAGCAACTAATATACATTAAATAAACTGAAAGTATTCAAAATGAAAGCAAACTTGAAGATCACATTAAAATAGTGAAATAGTAGATTTAGTGTGAAATTTTATAATTGAACTGAAAATATGAAACAATATATTCCTGATGCATCTAGAGTCTAAATAAGTAAGTCGGGATTAGTAAGTCGAGATTAGAGGTCTACGTGACTCACCAATTTAAAACCACTGCGTTGAAGAAAATGATCCAATCACAAACAACACAATTACTAGAATATGCAGAAATAAATCATGTTTTCAGCACACAGGTCAGGTTGGATGTGCCTGAATGCAATAAATTTCGCTAATTATAATAGATTCTAGTTTATTGCTTATCATCTTATAAAAAGCTTTATAGAAACTAAACAGATACATTCTATGAATCGCTTAAAAGGAGACTGAAACAGGAATTTCTTGGTTACATACATAGAAAAAGGTTCTTTTGAATAAGTGGCTGCATGCGTACTTGCGATCGAAGGGGTATGTGGATAGGTTAATATGATTGGAAGTAGGACAATATGAAAACTCTTGCAAAAAAACTAATTTATTTAGAATTCACTGTCGTCACCTAGCATTGTCGCTGTATGATTGGCGTCCTCTTATCCTGATAAGCGTCTATCAATTGTTATTTTATATTATTCCTACAATAACTTTAAGCCACCGATTTGTGACTCATAAACGATTATAATTGTATGTGATTAAACAGTTTGTGAATCAAAAACTTTTTTCCTTACATCTTAAGCCATCTTTCTTCAGTCATCCTACAATTTAGCATCAAGTACCATTCATATCACTACTCCGACGACATTTGAATTCACTGACTACCGTGATTTGCCAGTAGACCGGTAGGATATGGTCTTTCGATTTAGCTCTTACGTTCACACTTTCAAAGTGAAGAAAAAGCAAGAAAATTGTATCTTCCACAAAATTATTTTGCTAAGCTATACACTTTTATTTACTCCTATGAAGTGAGCTATCAAGCTTGAGAAAACTGTGTTCTTCTCCAATGCTTTTCCAAATATTTTCCTGCTTAGTTATTGGGAGTTAGAAATAAGTAGGAAGCCAGTTAGATTTTTGAAAATCATAGTCACATAACTTTATTCCGGTTGCCCTTCCAGGCTGATTGGCCTGAAATGAATGAGAATTTGCAGACTGCGTACAACGATGGCATCAGTGGTTTACTAGTTGAAATCTGCTATTTGAGTACAAAAGTGTTTAATCTTCTACTTTTCTGTCACCTTGATCCTTCTCTAATTAACTAATTCCAACATATCACTACCAACCATTATTATATTCACCACGCTTCTTGTTTCTTTCTTTAGCTCTGTCAGTTGGATGGCCGAAAATTTTACTTCAAATTTAATGCTTCCAACTGTAGATTAGATTTTATCATCTCCGAAGACTACATTGCTGTACTTCAACAACAATGTGCAGGTTTGTGAACTAAACAATAAACCACCCCTATTTTACGAGGGCTACTGATACTAGCTAGATGTCCAAACCTCAATAGGTTACTACATTAATCTAGTGACTCCACATGATGGATAAACAATAGGCCGCGGTTTGCGTGTAATAATTGCAGATAACGTACAGCTTTAAAGAGTGATAACACTGTAAAGAAAACGTTTTACTGGATTTTCTTGGCATTATGACTTACTGATCGGAAAACTGACTACTTGCATAGGTTACTAAACGGTGACTTTTTCATGCATATAGCTCACTCATTATCTTCCATAATTCGCTGTTAAGATTGTATGTAGTTGAAGAAAACTATTAAGCAGAACCAGCATTATTCGCGTGGTAAGCTTTTTCTTGAATTTCTAAACAATATCATTGAAAAGGTTCGATATTTTGTGACTAATACCTTTGGAAACCAGTGTACACTTATTTTTCTAATTAGGATTAACCTGCTGTATTCATTTGTCTAGCAGTTGTCATCACTAAGACCCAAGTCTTGACGCATAAGACTGACCGGCTTATAATAACAGTGCACTCAGCACAAAGAACAAGATCCGGAATTTCAACATCAATGTCAAGTCAGTGCTTCTATATGGCTCAGAAACTTGCCGTGTCACGAAAAGCATTTCCAACAAACTATAGACACTCACCAACAACTGCCGTCTACGTTCACTCGATACCGAAGATCAGATGGCCAGAAAGAATAAGCAACAAGCAAATCTGGCCTGAAAACGAACCAAACAAGAACCTGTAGCCCAACAATTATCCAGAAGAAAGTAAAGATGGATTGGGCATATACTGAGAAGGCCGACTGGGGACATCACGCGCCAGGCCGTCGAGGGCAATCCAAAGGGAAACGGCGAGTTGGGCAGCCGGTCCGAAGGTAACATGGGGGAGATCATGTGAGGAAGAAATGAAAGCTTTTGGGCAGGTTCAAAAGACTACAGAGAAGAGAGTGCAATGGAGGCGTGCTACTGAAGCCCTATATTCCACTAGGAACCCAAGGGAAAAACAATAATAATAATAATAATAATGACTTTTTCTAATATTAAATCGTCATTCCTCATTAATGACAAGGAATGTGGTCATCAGTGTTGGAAAAATAAACTTTCACATCCAATCGTACAAACATTTACAGACGATTTCTCATCAGTTGATTATGACTTTGTTTCCACATGTAATCACTTGTTCAACAATTCAAGTAGACGATTGTCCGCTCTACTTCCTATAAACTTGCTTCCGCATTTGCATGAGAATTGATAAAAACAATTGCAGTTCAGAAGGTTTGGAATCTTTTAATTTGAACTGTGTGAATAATTGTGTTGTTTGATACGATGAAATAAGTTTTGAAGCCATGTTATTCTTGTAAAATGCACTTCGGTTGTTGATTCTTAGCTATGTTTTATACTTTAAATCTGGCCTGAGAAACGCAAATGTTCTTTGTAGTTGTACGCTTTGCTCTTCCTTTACAGCATCTCTACACAAGGTATGTAAGATATCGGTTATTTCCTTGATAATCCCTAGCTAATACTGTTCTTCATATTTCACTATTTGTGGTATTGGAAACTGTGCTGCTTGAACTTCAAAGTATCACTTACGCCTCCGTAACACCCATAGAGCACCATAAACTAACCTTCACTGTTAAACCACAGAGAGTGATCAATCAAATAACAGGGTTAGTGGGAACAATAAATGCTAAGTCAGATAAAATGAGTCCCAAAAGGCAACTGAAAATCAAACGCCAGTTAAACACTTTCATTGTTATCATTTATATTACCCGCCAGCTATTTTGCTTAGATAACCTCAAGTATGATTACTTGCATTTTTGTATTACTCCAACATTTCAAAACATGATAGTAGCTTGTTTAAGTTATATTATTTCAACTCTTGTCATGGAGTTGAGGTTCTATTTCTTGATATTGGAAACATGAAATGACACCTAAAAACGAAATAAATATGTTCATTTTTACACAGTTACCTATTCATTTATTCAGCTGGTGATAAATCAATGACAAATGGATCCACCTTACCCAACAAATGCTGTTCTTACTGAGATCTTCCATTTCGTTCAGTAACTAACATTTCTAAACAGTCTGGGTGCACTACAGAACATTAAATTACACCTAATTACTTCTTGATATGAACGCACCAAATATAAACTATGACTACTCGATTTGGTTGGACACTAGATAATTTTTTTCGGCATGCAGAAAGTTCAGAAAAACGTAGTTTTCAAACTGATTGCGTCAGTACAATGGACAAAACATTTTGTAACTTCATTGTACACAAATAACCAACATACTTTGGTTTCATGATTCATACTTACTTGATTCAAAAGAAGGATGAAGCCAGTTGTACAAGCACAAAGCATTGCTGGCTATGCGGATGATAACAGCCTTTTCCAACACCGGTGTAGATAAATTATGCTGCCTGAATATAGTTGCAGCAAGACGGTAGGTCGGAGCAAAAACAACTTCCCCAGTGACATTAAATGACGAACCAGTTCGTAAGAGATTATCTGACGTTTGCATATGATCCTCTAATTCTGAGCGAGTCATTTTTTTGGCATTTACTTTTTAAAACATCAGCGGCCAAATTTTGCTGAATCGGTAAAGCTAAGTAGAGTTCTACCAGAGCTTGATTTTCACGATGTCTCCGCTGTTTAGCTGCAATGCGAGATTTTTCGCGACGTTCACAAGTTTGCTTCCCCTTGAAACTGTTTTCTGGTTTGGTTTGAAGCTTAACGCTTTTAGGGATGTTAAGTTCAGAATTCGATATTGTATTTTCCCGAGCATGACTAATAGATTTTGAACGCTCCTTTTCATGCAAGGAAGCATTTCTCTTTCGAGACTTATTGTAGTTTCGTCTAAGAAATGGAAAATAGTCAGATGCGAAAAAATTGTTATTAATATAACATAAAAGTCACTTCGGTTGGTCGGAAATTCTATCTACATACTGCTAGATCTTCTAAGACCTATGTTTGAGAGCAAAATTTAGGTTAAAAAGCACCATTCAATACAAGAGTTGGAAAGTTGACCTACCAATTAACTTGGGCGATACTTTAAAATCGGATGTCAAGCGCTCATCACATATGGTTCTAGAACACACCTACAATTGAATACTAGACAACTTATAGGCGGTGACACAATTTAGTTCCAATGTTTCTTTTATAAAAATGGAACACAATCTCTTCTTTAATATGTACAACAGAAAATGGTTAAATCATTTCCCCGTATATCTACAGCGAAAATCCAAGCCAATCACAAGGCTTCAGTTATTTAGTTAGGTTATAAAGCAGATTATTTTGAACACTCTACTCTTAACCAGTGGACCAACTGTTCAAACCCCACCCCAACAAGCGAGGTTTTAGTAACTAGGTGGTATAAGTAGTCTTAAACAGAGGCTGATAACGTAGTACATAAATCTGCTGAGTCATTCGTTCATCATATAAATACCAGCAGCGCTTCACACAGCAAACACTGAAAAGGTCTTTATAATGTAATTATATATTCCAAATGAAAAAATATCTAAAAATGAAACAAAAATGATTTTTCTTATACTCCAGGTGAAACTGACTAAAGCTGACTGTTTTCAGAGTAACCATTTGATAGATTATCTCTGTATACACATAATACACCGAATGACAGAGTGACAAGACAAAATAACCGATGACCTAATCGGTCAATAACTGAGAGTTTGAGTGAGCTGCAGCCAGACCAAAACAGCAACAATTTACGAGGTTAGTGACTGCTGATATGAACTGTGTGGGAAAGTCTAGGTTACCTAGTTGAGGTCAGAAAAGTGCTAAGAATTACAAGTTGAAAACCCTAGATGGCGTACCTCTAAACAGATCATAATGGAGATATCTTTTAAACCTTAACTGCTAACGAAAGACCGAAATCCTAAACGGAAAGATAAGATGACAACATAACAGTGGTATTATCACACAAAGACAAGCTGGGGTTTTTAATACATTTTTTAGTCATAACAACTGCACGAATTCAGAATTCTATAACGAACTGGTTATTTGAGAGACTATATGATGGTTGAATGCTCATACTGAATGGAAAGTTGTTTAGAAGAGTATTGTATATGTTGAGAGTTCTAGTTATTTGTCTACCACTTTCGAATAAGACAAGAACGAGGCTTGCAATATTTGTTAAATACTTTTTAAATTTGTTTTTACGTTACTAGTTACTGATTTTTGGAAACCCTGATGATCCTGCCTTTCCCTCCCTTACTTTTTTTCCATGTTATTTATTGTACCAAGTGAGTACGCATCACGTTACAACTACGAATTACGTGAAATTTTATGTTGTGTGCGTTTACTCACACTCGTTACTTCGAATCAGTAGCAAAGTTAGACAAAATCGATCAATTTCAACGCTTCTCTATTAGTAGAAACTTTGTTAGACCCTTAAGGAAAGCAAGCACTGCTGCGGATGTATCACCAGATGACATAGTTATAGGTCCTAAATGTCCTTAACTACGTCATAAAATACACTTTATGCATGGTAAGGTCACCATATTGAAAAGGAACGGTAATTTTAGACATAAAGAGGTCTGTGCACAACTGAACTTTCATGGTTAGGTTTTCGGAAATATTACGCTCATTTTACAACCATTTAGACTAATACTGAAGGTGAAGTTCCTAATCAGTTGACAGAAGGCACAGTATTACTTGCCAATATTTATCATTGTAACGTCATTATTGGAATTTTTATCTGGGAATACTGGGACGCAAAACGTCTGAAGATATCTGGTCAGACTGAAACTCATACATTACATGTTAGTAATACTGAAGTCCATAAATAACGGGGGTTGACGAATAATTTACTGAATTCTTAATTTAGGTAGTATGGGTGCATTTTGAGTATCCCAATTTAGTAACTTCACCAATGGATGTTTTCCCCCACAACACCTGATTGAGAGGAAGCGTAACGGTAAGTTTATGATGTATGAAGTCGATAATTGTGACAAGATGAAGTATTTTGGTACACCAAGACATTTGAGGAATCTTAGAGATTGTGGTGGAGTCTCAAACAACTGTAAGATATTTTAGGGAGCAACACGGTATTTTAGGTTGTTTTTCACCTCGTTTGTTGACAGGTTACTCTTATCCATTTCGCTACAGAATGAGATTAACTTGAAGCTGGATGTCAAACGAATTAAACTAGAAATTATGATACTGATACACCAATTGCTAACTTTCCTGAAAATTTCATAATGTTGCGCGCATATTATTACTTTTAGTAGCAGTCTGTAAAGAAGACTTAGATTTTTCGCGAGCACAGCCACTGACTTTTCACTTTCTGTTCCACTGTCAATGTGCCAACACAGGCTGCATTAGCTTGATGATGGACTTGGAACAGTTAGCATCTGTTACTATTTTTTATATATGCTTGTTCAGTAGGAACAATACTCAGTGAGGTGCAGGCACACCCGGCTGCCGAGTCCCAAACGGGACGAAACGCGCGTCCTGGATTTCTCTGCCAGCTACAACCAAGCAAGTTAACACTTGTGCCCTTTCTGCGTAGGGTGAATTTCTTTTCTCGAAGGATATGACCTAGATTAATTTGGCTTTGGACAACCAAATCTAACCTAGAAATGATATCTTAACGACATACACATCTCAGTTACTAAGGCTCTGAATGTCAACAAAGGTAAAAATATGGCGCTATAATTGACATGAAAGGTAGTTGATGATATAAAAGTTTTCCATGTTTTTCTGAAGGTCTTCAGGGAATGTATAGAAATAGTAGTAGGAAAAACAGGTAATGTTCAAGTTCTTTATACAGAGAAATTTGACATTCGGTCAATAACGATGATGACAGATTTTAACCCGTAAAACAGTATTACATGCATTAAACAGAAAAATGTTCACATTATAAATTTTAAAATCACAACCGCAGAGTTTTTTTATAGACATGCTACCAACAGATGGGTTTAACTCTCAATCCGAGAAACCAATAGATAACAGTGAAAAAGTGTAAAAAACCTGTTTATTTATCATGAAAATATAACTTTCAACTCTACTGATATGGTTTTGGTTTTAAAAGTACATTCTGTAAGATAAGCCTAAGGATGACAAGATACTTGTAGATGTCATTTTCATAGACATCAGTAAGGCGTTCCACGACGTACAGCATTCCAGCTGAAAACCTCTGGAATCACTCAGAGTTCACTGGAATGGATGAGAGTTCTTTATTGGTAAGAGACACAGAGTAATGGTCAGTCCTCAACCCTCTTCTTCGAAGTTGTTACGGAGCGGAGTCCAGCAATACATAGTAACGGATTCCCTGCAATTTACGATAGGAAGTAATGTGTTTATCACCTTACACAAACCTTTAATAAGCCACTTTTATGAACTCTTCGATGAATAGCTTGACCTAAGAACAATCTCGGGATCTGAAGTTCTTTTCATCTTATCACAGAGAGGTGTGGCATGATCAAGCTATGCATGATAAAATGTAATGACATTTAGCATGATTTATCTTCTCTTGCTTCCTTCTCATCACGGCGAAACATCTAAAAGGCCATAGCAGGAGCGTACAAAGGCAAAGAACGAACGTCATCACCGTATATCACTGGTTTTAGAGTCAAATAATCAACTCCTGGTACCGACTCGCTGGATTTTAATTTGTGACATTAATTGGCTCTCCCGAAAAGGAACAGCACAATCAAAAAGAGCTACTGGAAAACGACCAATGTTTGCTCACAGTCTTCTATCTTACACTGCAAGTAGACATGGCAAAAATATGCCACAGAGGTAACAATAAAAACTATGGTATGGAAAACAATAAATGAGCATATCCACGAAATTCTTATTACTTGAACTTACATAGGATAACATCCTGGGGAGCCAGGCGGAGCAGCACTTGGTAAGCACATCGTACAATACAGTAACGCAACAGTTATTATCAGCGCGTTTGTCCACACGAAAATATATATTGATCCGATATCCAATACCCAATACCTTTTGATGACCTTATGTTGACTGATTGGTTCCTTAGTGCTCTCTCCCGGTCCTGTGGAACGATTCGCGTTCTTTTGGTCTTTTCGATGCAGTAAATCTACCCACTCACCCGCTGTAGCTCTGGCGTACTAGACGGGGGTTTGATGTAGACTAGGTAGGGAGTTGAGTGATTTTTCGAAGGGATGTGAAGCAGATTGGTTCTTGAGGTTCCACGTCACCAGGTGGTTGTTCAGCCTGGTCAGAAAAGATGGCGGAAAAGAAGAAACGATGTCCAGCGAAAACAAGAGAGAGGATGTGAGAAAAACAGGTTGTAAAAAAAACAGGATGGAAGGAAAGGAAGGAACTAAGTAGATTCAGAGAGTGAGGAGACTGGAAGTGTGGTGAGCAGAACCTTGATAAATCTGACAAAATCACGGAGTCATATAGAGGAGAAGGGGGAGTTAAGACTGTGGGAGGGATAAAGGGAACAGACATGGTAATGTTTCTAGTGGAGATAAGGAAACTGGAAGTGAAAGGTCAAAAAGCGAAACATTACGTTAAATCAAGTTCCTGACGGTGGCGAATCATGTTGAAAGTCCTGAATGCTTCCTAAAATTAATCATGTGCTATACACTATTCCTTTGTACGTTAAGAATTTCAGGATTTTGATTACTTTGTACACTAACGAGCTGAAAGAGGAGATGTTTACTGTGCCTTGAAGGGAAAAAACAAAAGTATTTGGTTGCCTGTTTCTTGGGTTAACTACCCTCGTATCACGTCAAAGCTATCCGTGAAGATCAGTTTTCCTCAATGCCCTTCACGATTATTTGTCGGTGGAATACTTAACTTTGTTCAACTGTTTCCCTCAAGTTTAGCAACTGGGTTATCGGTGGAGCTGTGATGGCCCACTACTCCAGATTCTGCTGCCGCACCTCTTGGTCAGTCATTCGAACGGAGCTCGTAAGTTTGGTGGTGGAATTCTATGGAGTTTATGAATCCAGCAGCACAAAGTCTGTCGACGATTAATTTTACCCTTACCAAGTGGTGGAGTCCCCACTTTTTGAGGATCCACCCACTGAGTGAGCTCAGCAGCTATATGTCCCTGTGAATTAAATACTCATCCAAACACAGTCTGGAACAGGGAGCATCTGAAGACAGGATCAGGTTGGGTTGCCACCTGCTTACGAGTCTGGACTCCAATCACGGGATATCAAAAACACTTTCCTTTGTGGTAACTGACTCTAAAAGTTTAGTGGGTTTCCTAAGCATACCACCCACAGCACGTATTTAATACTTTGGTAGTAAAGAGAAAATACTCTGCAAAAGCACGTACTCAGAGGACTCAAGCTGCAAAGAGCAGTGTTTCTGTTAATTGAGGAAAAGTGACCAAATCTCTCCAGCTCTCAGTTCGCAATGTACGCCTTAGTTCCCTACTTCTTACCCCCCAGGCTGACTCCATGGCACTTAGATAAATGAGTGATCAGCTAAGCATGCAGCTCAAAAAGAATTCCGTTGCCAATATGACCTGTGAAAGGCCTATAGCCAAATTCAAGGGGATAAGTGCAAACTGATCCATGACGTAATGAGGAGTAGCGATAAAAGTTCACGCATTCTATGTGTATGAGGGCAAGCGTATCTTAACAGCCTTCATCTTCTGCCGCATATCTACCGACGACTCGCAGTTTTCTTGGAAAGTGAACACAATTGGTCTTTTGTTCACTCAAATTTCCTGATAAAAGCACCTTCCCCTTCATGCCCACGACACTATTTTACTCGCAGTTTAAGGCAATGCTTTAGCATTGTGATCGCGCCAATTACATCCTGGAATGTTGGAAATTCAATGAGATAAGTTTTAGCGATATCGCTCATATGACTGCATACGGTGACCATTCTTAAACCGCAGAACGGACCGGGTGAATGATATTTGTTTTGGTGGAAATCGTGAGAAGTGGTTTTCCACATTCAAAGTGATGCCACTAACACTTATAGATATCACGCAACACAGTGACTGGCATATTTGTAAAAGATGAGATCGACCAATGTACATTCAGCGAAGCTTTTGAAAAAGCTCCTTACGGCTGCTCAAAACAACACCCTTCCAAATCAACTAATGATATCATTGGATGCACTTATAAATCTTGGTGTCATCTTCACTACGTAAACTAAATGCATCCAGTGTCAAAATGATAACAGTGTAAACTACACACTGCCACCATGTTTCAGAGGCGGAAACCTTTTTCGAAGAACTAATTTTCGACTATATATATATATATATATATATATATATAACGTTTGTAATTACAGTTTGTGTTTGTTTACTACGGGATTTAATGATAGCGAGTTCCATTCAAAAATCAATACACACACTTTTGCCAGTAGCTCAAATTTCTGTAAAACTAAAGAAGTAAATGGGGGCTTATGGGAATACAATTCATTAATATAAGGGAAACACGACAACGGCAAGAAATAACGTTTTAGCCGAACAGGTTTCAACTGAGTTTCTGCGGTATGAGCGATAACCAAGAACTGGAAACAGGAGAACATTGGTAATTACGCGAAGCAGGTAAAGTCAAAATAAAATGAGGCCGGAGATACCTGAGGCAACTGTACGCGGGTGATATAAAAATGTCTTATTTGCCAGGATAGTAGTGACGGAGGAGATTTCAAAAGTCGTTTCTGTGTGCATCGCTCTGGCTTCAAAATGCGAATTGCCAAGGCTTCTACAATATGTAGCAAGCATTTAGGAATATTTTGTTGGATTTCGTAGGCAATATGGAATGAAGATTACGAACCTCAGTGTCCACTACTGACACGTTGCAAAATAAATAAGCTGATTAATCCTTTTTGCCATTCACAGCGACATAATTGGAAATATTCTGGATTACGGTACAGGGTAGGACTGGACGGACTAGCTACGTACCCATCTCCATAGGAGAAATGGTGGACATGTATTGAACTCAGCAGCCTTGATAGCTCATCATACACCGTGGAGCTTACTAGAGAGCAACTAAGGCATTTCATTCTACGGTTCTCAGCATGAAGCGTCCCCAGACCAATATTTCAAGACGGCTTTTTTCAGAATATCGCCTGCATTATCCTACTTGAATTCTGAGTCCCAGAACAATGCCTACTTCCAATCAGTGTTCGTGATTGTTGAAGTGTCAGTGAGTGTCGCATTTTTCTCGGCGAAGTGAAATAGCCACTCACATTTTCCGAAAGTTCGGCTTCAAGAAACTTGTTTTTCCTTCTTTACGGCTCGCAGAACAAATTTTATGGGATAGCGCCAACGGAAAGAGAGTAAGATTGTTTTCTGATTGATGCGATGACCTACTGAAGTTCGTTAGGTGTCCATTTCTTGTCAGTTTCCTGTAGATTGATCTCTTGGGTGTGCCATCACCTCTTCTCATCTGTAGAACAGCTAGGAACAAAATTGTAGGATGTTTTCGTTTCGATTGTAAATGCTAGTAATGGATGATGGTGATTAGGGCGCCTGCGTGTCTATTCCTTTTCAGGTTCGTTGCCACACATGATAGCGTCATCAAAATACCTCTCATGCAATCTCCTTTGGTTAACCTCGTCTGGCTAACTAGTTCACTAGTTACTAGCCAGTCCTAAGCCAGGATAAAGGCGGGGGGTTAGGCATACGGCTAGAAACCCTACACCGGAAAACAAATCCAATCACTAAACAAACTTCAAAGCAAAAAGGGAATGTAAGAAGTATAAACAAACTTATTCCTCACTGGAATCGGAGAGACGAAATGACGCCGGTTGGTGACAGACTTCGAGAAGCCAATTGGCCGATGTGTCTTCCCTTCTCTCGATGAAAGCGAAAGTAAACATAGGGAAGTGGAATGTTTGCACAATGTTTGAAGCTAGCTGGCTGGCTGACAAGGCTGCCAGATTGCAAAAGACATGAGAGGGTATGGTATAGAAGTGCAAGGAATCTGTGAGGAATCAGCACATGGAATGGAAGTCGACTCTCCAAACTGTCAGCTCGAGAGTCAATAATCTACTACGATATTGTCACTCAGATGACAATCACCGGCACACTGAGTTTTGGAGTGGCCATCATGACGTAACCAACAACATCGAAGACTCTCTTTCATGCAGTGGGAACCAATCTCCTCCCAGGGGATCTCCATCCTGACAACAAGATCTGAACCAGAAGGAAGGAAAGTTACAATCATGCAATGCTAGGCTATGCTACACACCTATAAATAATGGAGACGAAGGAGGAATTATACAGACAATCGCAACCAGTAATGGACAAAACCCCAGTTCAGTTAGCGATATCAAAATTCTGACGGGTGACGTGGATGCCAAACTGGGAGCAGACAACATAGCAGGAGAACGAATTATGCGTCGAGAAGCAGTTGGTGAAATGATGAGTGAGAATGGAGAACCGTTTGCAGATTTTTGCACATCTAATCATTTGGTGAGTGGAGTGGGCAGTGTGTATAAACGCAAGGATATTCGCAAGGCAGCGACATGGATGTGATTTCACCAGACACTAGGACACACTCAAAATCAGGCTAACTTCATACGAATTTGAAGAAAGCTGAGATCCAACCCACTAGACACATGATCAGATCAAGAAGGGGAACAGATGTAGGTTGACGCCACCCACTTCACTCTCTAGTCCAAGGAACCTGTAGTCAAAATCAAGTCGAAAGCCTTCAAAGAAGCAGGGGATAGACCGCAGTTCAAGTGTAACACACAGAACAGAAACCGAACTGAAGGACGAAATTTCGAAGGACACTACGTCGGTCAGTTATCAGGAGAGAATGGGAGACATTAAGCAACATCCCAGAGGGGACCTGCTTGGAAGAACTCCGGAACTCTATGGAAGAGACGTGGAAAGAAGCCTGCATAACTGCAATGGAAAGAAGAAGAAACTAAAGAGACAAGGAACGGATCTCGACGGACACTTGGAATCTGATAGGGCGGAGAGAGGAAGATGATGAAGCAGAAGATGAACCA